CACTGTGAAAAGGCTGATTGTTCGGTGGCATGCGGCTTTACTCACGCTTCCACATTCCCGTTGCCTCTTTTCAAAGTGGGGACTATTGTGAAGCTGGTGATTATGATGCAAAATTGGTCTTTTCATTTTTGGGCTATGCACAAAGACCAATTACCATATATACAAGAGCCAGGGTCTGCCTTCTTTAACTGTGTTGGCTCGAGCGTGGGCCAAGAATAATAGCTGAAAAGCGGGCAGAGGATCTCAATTTTGACGGCGGCTCTATCCACGTCCCGGCGCGAAGGGGTTAAAATAAATCTGTGTGCCCACACCCATGTGAACATCGAACCTTCCAAAAGTGTTTGTCCGATCAACGGTTATCTTTTCCCGCATACACTTCCTGCAGCCACACATTTTAGGTGTGTGCGTTCACCAGAAACCCCAAACACGTCGACTCACTTCCTTCCTTCGTGCAGCCGTAGCCGTTTCAGAGCCACAAACAGATATAGCTTAATTGGGTGTTATTTTTATGACTGCATGCTTGAATAGTTCATCTTGAATGGGTAGATTACGATCACAACACATCATAGGTCCTGCATGATCGTGACATCACTAGAAAAAGGTCTATAGACTTGTCCAAAAAAAACACCTTGTTTAATTTTTTATAAGAGAAGTGGGAAGAGAATTTGAAATACATACATGTATTGTCTGTTACCTACCGTCCTAGTTTTAAAAACTGCTTCCTATTTGCAGATGTTGATACAACAAGGCCATCATCTTCAGAGATCACGGATCCCCTACAAAATCCTGACTTCTTCAAGGTCAAAGAATTAGTCAAACTCCAAGAGCTCTTTGATGCTCGGGTGCACCTGGGCCACAAAGATGGCCTGATCAACCCTCACATGAAGAAGTACATATATGGCATCAGACAGAACCAATGCATCATCGACTTGGATCAGACGGTGGTGCTGCTCAAAGAGGCCCTAAACTTCACCGCTCACATAGCGCATCGAGAAGGCATCATCCTCTTCATTAACCGCATGCCGCAGTTCTCATTCCAGATGGAGGAGCTGGCGCAGGAGTGTGGGGAGTACGCCCACACACGCCCCTGGCAGGGTGGGTGCTTCACCAACGCCCCCATCCAGTACGGCCCGGGGACACGCCTACCGGATTTACTCATCTTCTTCCATACCCTGACAAACACCTTCACAGAACACCTGGCAGTGACAGACGCAGCCAAAATGAACATCCCCACTGTGGGGGTAGTGGACACTAATTGTAACCCCAACTTGATCACCTATCCCATACCTGGGAATGATGACTCTCCCTCAGCGGTAGGCCTGTATAGCAGACTTTTCAAAACGGCCATCTTAAGAGGCAAAGCAAAAAGAAACGACACCAACAAGTGACACATATCATGTACTTGATTAAAGTCATGGGGTGAAAGACTTCTCTGCATCCCACAGGTCTGTGTTTTCCAATCCATCATCATTAGTAAGAATGGCATGAATGCAAAGGAGGCAGGAAGTGATGAATATTCATCAAAAGGGCAAGCCTTATTTTTAGGACACCTCCACATTTTTATTTCACTTTTTTGAAAACAGTCTCACAAGGTGTTCATCGTCCAAAATTACGTTTACAGCCTTGGGTAGTCGTCGTCTTTCACAACAGAAGGATTGAGGCATTATATTTAGAGGACATTCCGAAAAACTAGAATTCTAGCCAGTTTTGGCAAATGAAGACATGTACACTACATGTTTCACAGGAGCAGGGTCAGAAGGTAAGGATTGCTAGTGTGTACAATAACATGTGCATCCATAAGATAACTTGTCTAAAATTTAGCAGATTTTTATCGTTACCTTCATTTTGCTCTCCAATTGTATGGAAGTGGGCAATGTGTGGCTTTTATACAAGATATAGTAACATTCTCTGTCCATCAAATCTTGCAACATTCTAAGCATGACCTTCAATCCTCTAGGAACACTCTATATCAAGAATCTTTTGAGGTAAATTTTTGTTTATTAAACCCCTGATGCAGTTTCTCAAACACTTTTTTTCACACGAGAAGGCATTATTATCCCTTATCACAGGAAGAGTGTACAAACACTGTGTGTGCATTTGAATGCAATGTACATGTACTATCAACATGAAACCTGGGTACTTTGTTATGCTCATGCAGCCAGAATAAATATGTTAACAGGTCTTCAGAAAACTGTCCTCGCAAACTAACAACTATTTCCATCATCAGTGTGATGAGATTATCTCACTTCATGATCTTCTTTTGTAATCTGCTATGCGATCCTGATTTTCATGAAAATTCCTTAGAAATACACGGGCATTGATTATCCGTACATATCCAAACATATGATGAGGAAAATCTTTATCAACCATGCGTTTGTCACGCTTGTTCATATGAAATTGGGTACTGAAATATGATAAATCTGGGTACATAAAAATTTAGCATTGCAAAACAAATTGGGTCTGACCAGAATGATAACAGATAATGCAAAGAGCAGTGTGGCAGGTGCTGCTTTTACACTATGTAGCATCCAGATGCACGAGCAACATTTTAGAACTCGGAATTTTGACGAAGTTTTCAGTCAGACTTCTTGTAGTCAAGTCACTTCATTTGATAACTGCAGCAGCTGTTCTTTGGCTGACGTACGGCTGGAAGATTTTCTGCACTGCGTCCACATGTCGTCGCTCCACGTCTGTATTGCGGGCATGCAGTAAGTAACGGCTGTAGTCTCGTCTCTGCTCTATTGCCTCTGTGCCTAATTCTGTTTCCCGGTTCACCGGTTCCCGGCTGCATGAGGGCGTGGCATCGGCCTTGACCTTGACAACCTGGGTGCGGGGCTTTGGCTGACCAATGGCTGACAGCGATTTCTGGGCCTGTGGGGTGATGGACTCAACGTGCCAGTTACGAGTGTGTTGAACACGTCGGGCGTATTCCAAGTGGAGGTCACTCAAGCTGCAAAGTTGGTGGGAACAATTTCGTGAAAAAACAATCTGCTATGAAAAAAAAGGCATGGAGTGTGTAACTCTTCTGTTGTCGATCCAAATTCTTAATCATAGCATTTTCGTTACAAAGGTTGAAATTTATAAAGAGGCTTTTTTCTCTGCTTGATTTTTGACACTCAAAAAATAAAATCCTGTCTGGACAACATGGGAACCTTGCCTGAAAATTAGTTTCTCATCACAAATTCATTTATGCCTCAAGGTTTTCTGAGAGTACAAATGCCCAAACATGTACAAAAGAATAGTGTACTACTTCAAAAGGATACAATGACAAACATTTCCTATAGATAGGAAATTCTTACCTTCTAGCTAGCCGCATCTTTTCCTTAACCTCAGGTGACTTGGTCGGTTGACTCCACCATGGAGTAGAAAACGCAAACTGGAATAGAAATAATCATTCAATTTTTAACAGCTGAAAAGACTTTGCCATCAACTATTTTCTATTAAACATTTTCCTAAGGGATGGACAGTCAGTGAAATGACTTATTTGTTTTGATTTCATCCCTGATTATCAATCTATCCCTATGTCAATCTATCCCTGATTATCAATCTATCCCTATGTCAATCTATCCCTGATGTCAATCTATCCCTGATATCAATCTATCCCTATGTCTATTTATCCCTGATATCAATCTATCCCTATGTCTATTTATCCCTGTGTCAATCTATCCCTGATGTCAATCTATCCCTGATGCCAATCTACCCCTGATGTCAATCTATCCCTGATGTCAAGCTATCCCTGATGTCAATCTATCCCTATGTCAATCTATCCCTGATGTCAATCTATCCCTGATGTCAATCTATCCCCGATGTCAATCTATCCCTGATGTCAATCTATCCCTGGTGTCAATCTATCCCTGGTGTCAATCTACTCCTGGTGTCAATCTATCCCTGATGTCAATCTATCCCTGATGTCAATCTATCCCTAATGTCAATCTATCCCTGATGTCTCAGTACAAAAGTTACAGACTGCTGAAGGAGCTAACATTTTCAGTGTTGATAGAAAATCCAGATTATTCGTCAAAATCCCTATCACAGCTGTTGGATCTCAGATGAATCATCTCACCTTGTTTTTGGACACCTTCACGGGATTCAGTGATGGCAGCGACTTCACCTGAGTGGATTCCTTGCCCATGGCTATCGGTGCTGTTCGTAACCTGACGGCAGTGGGTGTGCATGACCTGAGGGCGCTGGGGGTCATTGTTCGGTTCGTGCTGGCCGACCTGAGGGCTGACTTGATGGGGGTCTTACGGGCCGAGCGGAGGATGGGTGACTTGGTGCTGATGCCCAGGTAGCGGATGTCTAGACGATGCAGCATGGCATGCCCCTTCTCACCCATGGTGGAGCACAGGACTAGCAGGGCTGCATGGAGGAGACGCCTGCATGAATCGGGAAAACAACCAACACAGACTTATTCTTTTTCATTTTGTGTAGAATTTCAAAAATGACGATAATCATGTGGTGTGTTCTTGAAATCCTCCAAGCACCATAGGGCAAGTTTGACTGGCATCAATTTGTTAACCACTGGTCGATTTTGCCTGGTGCCCAGTATATATTTTATGCATGGGTCACCAGTCAAATTGACCAACTTCCTAACAGTGCGGCAGACAAGAAGCAAAACAGATTTCCAAGTTTTAACTGAAACTTTCCAACAAGTCTGAAACTTTCCTTGAAGGTTTAAATGGTTTTTAAATGAGTCGTTGGTTGTACAATCTTAACAATTCAAATTAAGATAGCGTTCTTACTTATTAGCTGTTGTTCCATCAAACATCAGGAACTGGCCCACTTGAGCAAAGCCCAGGCTGGTCAGCAGCGCCCTCGCTTGGTGATGACCCCAGAGATGACTAACCCCTGTGTCGTTGACCTTCAGCTGGATCTCTGGCATGTGCTTGGTGAAGCTCATCTAGATGATCGATTGCACATAACACATTAATGGGATTGGTGGTACGTGAGAAAATACAGAGGTTTTAAGATGAAGTAAAACCTTGTCCAAAGATGAGCAGAAACTAAAACAAGAAATGAACAGAAAACGATAAAAACATGAAAACTGATTAATTTGTCCTTACCACGTCAATGAGACCTGATAACAGTTTTTCCTGACTCTCTAAGACTCTGGCCAAATTGTGGGCACACTCCGCCTTCTCACAAATGTCTGCAACAAGTAAGAGCAAAATTCAACTGCTCTCTTTTTCTCTCAGTAATGAACTTAAAAATTACTCTGGTCAAAGCCAACAAACTGTTCAACTTCTGCACTTGAGCAAATAGCTGATGGCATTTGTGCATGATGTGACACTGAAACTGGATTATCAATTCACACCTTGATTATCAACCATTTTATTATTAACAACCGAATGGGCACTTCTTTTATGGAAATGGCTACCAAAGAACATCGACAGCAAATTTATATCCAAAGTCACGGCCACTGGTTGCGACCTTTCTGGAGGCTGTACCTTGTAAGCCCTTGAGGGCCTGCAGTGCAGGCTCTATTATGGAGTCCGGATCCCACTGTGGAAAGACCACCTGAGGATCCAGGGTACCAGACCCGGCCGCCTGGAAGTGAAACCCCAGCTGATTGAGCAATGGGATGGCCGAGGGTGCTCTTAAGATGCACGGTGGGAGCGACTGGGCAGAGGGGGGTGTTGGATGGTCGCTCTGAGGGTCTGTGAGATGGAGGCAATGGCTCAACTGCATTGCGGAAAAAATAAAGACAACCATGGTGTTATATCCCACCCATGACAAGTTTCAACAAACTAAATTACCTCCAACTGCAAGATTTCAACTGACTAAAATTCACCAATGTCCAGTACTTGTACTAATAGGAATTCTAATGTGATGTTTGCAACTCATCTTTATAGCCTTCACCCTGCAAATCTTTTGACAACTCTAATCAAAATGTAAAGAAAGAATTTCCCAATCACTTAATAAAATTGCGGTCACACATCAAAACTTTCCTTTGAGTTATCTTAACATTTGAAAGTTTTGATTTGATGTTTTTAATCGTCCATTCGCCCTTTTATACTTTACTGAGACCTTTTTATTTTGTATGTAATCCAGTCAGTCTTGTGATTTTGTAAGGACTAAATCAATAATAGTTTCCTACCAGCTTAACTAACTGTGGTATAGCATCTGAGTACTGGGCATGATGTTGCAGCAGACCAGACAAATGCTTCCTCATCCTCTCCGGAAGTGACTCTGAAGCACCCTCTGGAAAAGAAAGTGAGACATCGAAAAAAGGGGAAATTAACTGGACTTTCTGAGAAACAATAACCTTTGCCAACGAAGGGCAAAAACCCAGAGGAAACCTAGCAGTTGATTCAGCTATGAACCTGAAAACCATTATCAAGAAACACCGTTATGCTGCTTGAAAAGTTATTTAAGGAGATTTATTTTAAAAGATATGCTGGTGTATTTTGAGGACAACTTCCCGAGTGAAAGACGAGAAAATAAACCAATAAAACCTACCAAAAAAAGGTTAGAGAAAGGCCAGGAAGTAAGGGGAAATAGGAGAATCTGCCACATGAATTAATAGCCAAATACGGACGATTCACAATAGTGCGCCACCAAGAGTTTGCAACACATTGGCCAATCATAACGTGTGAAATTTGTCGACTCTTTCTAAACATGCATTGGGTCGACAAATTTCGCGCACTGTGATTGGCCAATGCATTGCAAACTTTTGGTGGTGCATTTTTGTGAAACGGCCGTATTGAAACAGACGCTGCAGAGACAGAATATGGAAACTAAGAATGTAAAGTTTAGCATGCTCATTCAAAAACAAGACTAGTAAGTGCCACACACCCTGTTCGTCAACCTTCCTTATGTTCAATACGTCTTGCTTTTGACTGCTGAGGTAAGTCTCCTCCATTGTGTTGAGAAACTGATCCAACATGCCGTGCTTGACATCCAGGAGGCTGATAAAGGGATCCCCTCCAAGGAGACAAAAGGCCCCCAAGTAGCGAGGTGAACGGAACCTGTGTAAGGAATCAAGGATGCCGATGGAGTGACGGTGTGATTGACACACTAAACCCTGATCCCCAGGAAGACTTGACAATCCTACTGGCAAGAGGGGTAGTGTGTGGGGGGAGGGTGGAAGTTGATCACAGATGCTAACTGGGAAATGTTTGTAGCTCTTTTTGACAGCTTACCTCTCGTCTTCTCTCAAAGAGTTCTTGGCTTGGGCTACGGCCTCTGAGACATGACGACCTTCTTGCAGAGCCAGGTAGAAATGATGCCAGAATTTATCCCGGGTGATGTCTGGCACAGACCACAGTAGAAGTAGGATCGACTCAGCACCTTGGAAAAAAATCAAGTTGAAGGAATTATAGCATTCAACTGAATGGTTACAATTTTTCTTTCACTTTTTTTCGAGATCATTTCAAGTACAAGCTAGAAACATACGTAAATTTGTGGGCAATTCTGCAGTTCAGAGAAGCATGCTTAAGTATTTGTGACCTGTTACCAGAAAATGAGCTGAAAGTCGGAATATTAAAAAACTGAGATATTGGTGTTTTTTATTAAGCAGACAAAGAGCTTTCCAGTGGTAAGTACATGATACACTTAGGGTAAAAGTAGAAGGTGACATTGTGACATTATTCTGGCAGATTTGCGTCTTTGTTTCCGACATTGTTTCAACATTTCAGACCAAAATAAAGCTATCATCAAAATTGCTGAGAAAATGACATTTTTAAATATATGATTCTGAGAAACATTTGGAATTACACAACCTCCCCCCAAAAAATTGACCTCCACTTCAATATGACTTTGAACCCTCACAAAAGGTAAGAGCTGGATGCGACTTTACGCCCATTTTGTCGTGGCAGGTCACATTTTTTTCAAAAACATGTACACAAAATTATCATGAAAGACTAAAAATAGAGAAACATTACGATGATTTCCATAAGGCTCTAAAACAAAACAAAATAGCTTCAAGTCATCACCTGCCACAAGAAATGCAAGCGGCAGTTCCAGGTGAACGTCACGGTGACGGTTCCCATAGCAACAGCTCATCACCACCAGCTTAGCCTGCAGTTTCAGACCGATGATGTCATCCACTCCAATCACACAATCACTCTGATCATGGGATCTGTCAGCAAGTGGTTGACTGGTTGGGTTTGGTGTGCAGGCTAGGCACGCTTGCTCCCATGAGCCGTACATTGCTGTTAAAAATTCAAACATTTGAAAAACTCAATAAACTGTTTACTTCTGATAAAAATGTTGCAGTCATACAAACTCTCAAGTTCCAAAAGCTTAAAAGTGGTCTTACCAAGATGGATCAGCGATGATTTGGGTAATTCAGTTAGGACGGTTTCTTTGGTGACCTTTGACCCCACAATGGCCTTTGTGTCAAGGCGGTGAGCAATCCTGTGAGCCTCCTCTTGAGCGATGTGCAATTCTGACAGCGGTTCCCAAATCTGAAAAGATATTATCAGACACTTGTTTCAAAGTGGCATTAAATAAAACAAAGTTTTAGAGCAAATGGTGAACTGCATAACATTGGCCACAGTTAAGTGCATTCATGGTTAGTTTGTCTTGGGCCTCGAGCTGGACCAAGAGAGGGCGCTACACATATTTTTTTAGCAACTGGAGCCTCCTTTGGTTGACCAACACATCAACTGATGAGGGGGTGCTTCATCTGCTCGAGGCAGATTACTCTTTACATTATGCATTACAAATCTCCAACAGGCCCTTAGAAGATGATGCTGAAAGTTCATGGGAATGGTAGCTGAACTGTTTAACATCCAACCATTTATAAAAAATACACTACTCTACAAGATATCTACCTTGCCATGCAATCTCAACTTCTTTGGAAGTGCTGGGTTGCCAATGACAAGCGCCCTCAGTTGACTATTCTGCTGCTGATAGTGTTGAATCTTCCCCTCATGTGCTGAGGGCAGGTCGGGCCCGCTCCATGTCCTCGAAATCAGGGTACTCCCACTGAGCTCTCTGCCTCGCAGAAATCGGTCTTCCATCACGGAGACCCTGTCTTTGGGACTTTTAATAAAGTGGTAGGAGTTAAGGTCAAAGCTGATGTATGATGGCCTGGTGCTGTTCTGGGACATTTTGGGAGCTTCGGCATCTGTTTCCCTGACGATGCTGTGAGGGCGTTCCTTAGGAGGGATGACCACTCTCAGCATGTGGTCCAGGTATATGGGATGTGTTGGTGATTTTTGAGAGTTTGTGACAATTTCTGCACGGTTTTGATTACTGTCACTGCTGCTATGCTTGTGGGTGTATTTCAAAGCTTCTAGACAGGGCAGTAAAGTCAGGTGATACCTGTCACCGAATAGATACCCTTCCTCGTCTTCTAAGGCATCAAATGGAACTTGAGCTAGTTCCCGATCGGCAACAATCACGACTGAGCTACACCCTTCGAGAAGACACTCCACTTGGGAGAGAAGAAGCTTGTGTAGCTTTCTGGAAGGTGACTCTTTTGTCTTTGAGCTACTTTCATCCTCTGCAGCATCTAGAGAGGTTGTTTTCGAGGCTCCTCGTTTTGTCTTGGCAAAGTTCATGGTCTTCAACTGATGTATCTTGGAGTCTCGGAGAGGCAGGGCTCTATATTCAGTCTCATAAGCTTCATCTGCTTGGTGCTTGGTGACTCTCATGGAGGAAATGAGGTTTTGGATGTGCCGGGGACAGTCCTGGGTGGCAGCGTCTTGGTCGTCCTTGCCGGTCCAGCAACCTTCTCCCGGTCGGAAGACCCAACTCAGAACACAGGAGTGGCAGAGGGAGAGATACACAACTGTTGCAGTTTCCTTGTTTGCAATCTTTAGCATCTCATCGATGGTTGCGTAACTGCTGAGCAAGTCTTGTACAGCCTCCGTTCCCTGGCCTAAACTAGCAGTGTTCTTGGCCACCATGTTGAGAAACTCTCGTCTCATTTGGGTTTCGGCATACTCTAGGGCTTCGTATGGTCTGGTAAGTTTCTTCAGAGCGACTTGGATGAGTTTGTAGCTCTGCTCAAGATACTTTAAGGTGTTCTCTTTGTTCTGCTTGGGATCTTTCAGGGCTTGGATGTAATACTCAATGGAATCTCCTGCCAGCATCCGCGCTCTCTCGAGATCCTTCTCAGCTCGAGAAATGAGCAACACCTGGGCGAGTTTGCTTCTGCTAGCATAGGCCAGCTCAGTTTCATGTGATCGCTCAGCCAGATGTAGAGCTTGCTCGTAGAAATGCTGAGCGTGTTGGGGATTTCCATGAGCCTGGTGCAGCTCTCCCATGGCGATAAATGCCAGGCACTCCGTGGCAAACTCATCAAGCTTCCGGCTGATTTGGAGGTACCTCTGAAGGCATTCCAGTGCCCTGTCTGTGTTGCCAAAGTCTTCATGAACATTGGCAAGGCTTCTGAGAGCCGTGGCTTGCATTGTGTGATATGAAAGCTTCTCAGAAATATGAAGTTGTTGCTCATAGAAGCTCTGAGCTAATGAATAGTTGTACAGTTTATGGTAGATTCTTCCAATACACCCATAGGCTCTCCCCATGCCCGCACGATCATTTGAAGCCTTAGCTATTGCAAGATAAGATTTAAAGTGACCAAGTGATGACACAAAATCTTCAACTGCTTCATGTAGAGAAGCTACTGTAAAGTGCGCCTTCCCTAATAGATCACTTTTCTCCATTTGAAAGTCCTCCTTGACCCCTCCTAGCACTTCAAGATTCTTTTGGGCATGCTTCAGTGCATGTGGAAAATCACACACAGCCTTGTATGCGTTACTGAGGGTCTCGTGAACTTCTCGCAGCAAATTCACATCACAGGACTCATTGGGGCTGACCTCTAGTTTTTCAAGGTCTTGACAGATTGAGAGAAGCTTTACATAGTACAAGATCCCTTGCTCAAGGCTCTCCTCTTGTATGTATATTTCAGCCAGGCGGCAGTAGACCTCAGCTTCATATCGCTGGTTTTTCTGTTGGAGAGCGATAGACAAGCACTGTTTGTAAAAGTCTTTTGCCGATTCATAATCTGTATTACCGGCATAGCCTGCTCCGATGCTGAACAGTGCCCGCTGTTGACACAATTCGTCCAGCGTTTTCAGATCCAGGGCACTTTGCAGCACCTCAATGCAGGAAGCATTCTGATTGGCTCGCTTCAAGTTGATACCCACTTCCAGTAGCTTTTCAGCCGGCGACAAGTCTATTAGAATAAGAAAGAGGTACTCAAATGATGACTGAACAAAGGATAATTTCCACCAGGAAACTTCTCACACTTCTGCTTTGAGCCAATTTGGCTCATCAGAGCAGTGTTTACCTCCGGTTTCCTTGGCATGAAACAACTGAGAATATTTTTATTCCCCCTGGATGGGATGCCAGTCCATCGTAGGTTGCCTCCCCAGCTAATGTCACTACCCACTTGCACTCCTGGGTGGAGACAGGCAAGTAGGGATGAAGTGGCTTGTCCAAATCCACATTCTATGGCCCAGAGTTTGGTTTGAACCCTCGACCCTCCAGCTATGAATCACAAACCTTAACCTCTAGGCCAAACTCCTTATGACCTATTACTCTTTGTTATAAGTCAGCAATTGCCATCCTCAAATTATTCAATTTAACACTGAAAGGTGAATTTCGCATAGCAGCACATACAAATCTGTGAATCAAATTCCAATTTATGGGATTTTCTAAGTGTTAAATGTTCAGTGGCTTCCTGCACTCCCCAAAATCTTTATCTTCTCCAGCAAAATGTTGACTTTGGAGGGTCTTCAGTGGACTGAAATAAAAATTTAGAGAGAGAATAAAGAAAAATAACTCAAACCAACTATGGAGGCTGACCTGCGAAAGTTTCCAAAGCTTCTGGAGGGATGTTACAGAGGTTTCCAGCTACAACTGCTACGTTGTCGGCAAGTCGGTCTCGGTGTTTGACATCGTAATGCAAGGCATTCAGGAAGGCACTGATTGCAAGGTTAAACTCCTGAAGGTTATTCAGGCTAACGGCTAGAAGGTAGTGACCCTGTAAAGTTTTGAAAAGAAAAACTTTGGTTGGGAAATTTCCCCAAATCAGGGCAAAGTCAATTGACTGCATCAAGTAGTTAAAATTAATAAATAAAGAGCTCTGATAAATAGTTTTGGGGGACCATATACCCTGATCGACATACCTGGGGTACATGAGGGTTCAGCTTGATCAAATACTCAGCATCTTTCCTCGCCTCGGCACACTCTCCGAGTTCAATGTTGGAGATGGTTTTCCGGGCGAGCAACTGAGCATTGTCAGTGTCTATCTCCAGTGCTTCTCCATAGCACGCTGCCGCCAGAGCAAAGTCCTTGGCTTGGAAGGCTGCATCGCCTTGCTGCTGCAATCTCTTGACCTAAAAGCAGGAAAAGAATCAAATAAGAAGTTAAACCAACAGTCAAAACAGCTCTACAAAACAGACAAAAACTGAGACAACTGAAAATTACAAACTAACCTAACCCTTTTTCATGCGTTGACTGAGTAGACAAGAATGCTAGGCAAACAAGAATTCAATCATCCATTTTTGGAAATAAATTGCCAATAACCACGGCAAACTCAGTGGTTGTGTGGTTAAGACGTCTGCACTAGTAAGCAGGAGGTTGTAGGTTCAAGTCCCACCTGGGTAACCTTGTGAATTTTCTAGCAAGCTCTCGGACAAACTCAACACACATTGTTATGAATATACATCAGTGTTAGGGCAAAACCCATGATTACATAATTAACATCTCCCAACAAATGTACATCTTTGGATATGTCAATCATCTTTCTTTGTTTAAACAGGCTGCAATTCTGAACAAACACTTTTACAACCAAGTCCATGCAACCATCTACCAGACACTTGCTACTTACGCTTTCGATTTCTTCAGCTTCACTAATTGCCTCGCTGAAGCCTGTAAGGCTAGGCAGACTTGCCATACTGGCGCTGTGCTGAAACTCCATAGTTCAAGTTGCAGTCTTCCTGCCGTCACTTGAATTAATGGTCCATAAAGCCAGTAGTATTAGCTATATTTGAAAGGTAAAGAGCAATTCTATCACCTGACACCCTGTGCACAAACCATATAATAGAACAAACCTGAAAAATTCTCAGTAAACACTTCAATATTTTCCTGCTAAATTTGACTTTTAGGATATTATCACTTTCTGACGACAGAAGCACTGCAATGGAAATTTCACTAAAAGTGATGTCCATATGGAACTCTTGCCAACAGAAAGCAATTATACAAAATGCTTTTAAACCCTGTAACACAACTCACCCAAGTCAGCGATATACAGAGTACTACTGCCCTACTGATTACAACTCCAGAAGCTGTGCAGAAGCTATAAAAAGTCAGTTTCTGACATGACTAAAGAGGTAGAGTTGAACTTAGTGCTTAGATCATGGCTGTTCAGTGACAGATCCTCTAGGCTTATTACAAAGTGCGACCCAAACAGGTAAGAACACCTATCATTTTTTTCTCGCTGTTTAGGCCTACAAATATTGTTTGTAGTATTTTCCTACCTCCATTCTGTTTCCTACAGCAACATCGAGCAAAAAATATAAGATTAAGCGAAGTCTAAGCAAGCGCATTTCACATAATTTGTACATAAATCACTCCTAAGAGATTGCTCACCTACTTGCCAAAAGGTTCTAATCACACCTGCACACAAATAATGTGATATTTTTTTACATTTAGGCCTACACCGGTACGAATTCTGTCATGTCCTTAATCCTCTCTTCTGCTCGTTGCGTTCTCACCACCGGTCACCGACGTCCGTCCGCGCCGCCGTGCTAGCTGCTATGCGCTGCCGGGCAACAGCAACACACTGCGCTGCACGGTGTGAAGTAACACAGACGGCTTTTTGGGTCTGACCAGTATTGAACATAAAATCGCCGTAGGGCTTCAAAGTCACGTTCCCGCTATGACCTAGTACCTGTGACCTCCATTCACCACAGCAGCTAGCACAGCACGGGCACTGACCACTTCTTAGTCAGATAATCGAAAATCACCGATTTACGTGTAAGTTCGCTTATGTTTATCAAAGAAAATAAAAAAATTAAAGAAAGCGTCAACAGTGCCGTTTTATTAATAACCACGATAACGTTTCAAATTCAATGTTAAAGGTAAAAGTATCTTTTCCTGGTAAATTTCTAACATTAAGTAGTGCCTAGGCAGTAACCTTAGACATGTTAGATCCAAAATGATATATTTTGAACGTTTGTCGTCGGGGTACCATGTCATTTGTTGCCTGTCAGAGGTTTTTTCTTCCACTTTACTTTTACCAGCTTCAAATTAAAAAGTATAGTTCAGTCGCATACAACAGAGAAAGCAGTTGGTAGACTCACGGATGTAGCTCAAGTGCATAATTGATAAATGATGAATTTAAAAAAATAATGGGATGGCATGTTTCTTTGTTAAAACCACTCATCTGCTGGAGATGACAAACCCCAGAAGTCCGGGGTTCGAGGTCTGCTGATGGGCTTTGTGGGAGGGCGGTGGACAAGAAACAGCAGAGTTCTGGGAGTACCAGTGGTACTCCCAGAACTTTACCTCAATCTGTGCAACTCTCTTCAGTGGTACTACCACTGAAGAGAGTTGCACAGACGGAGGTAAAATATGTCTTTTACAATCCATTCTTTATTATATAATATGTTCTTTCTTTACAGTGTCTGCACCTGCAGCAACTTACCCATGATGTTTTTACCACGTGCCCCAAGCCCCAGCAGGACAACACCACCCCCTGTGCAGCCTCTAGAATGCAACCTGCCACCACCCCCAGTCTTGATGCTACCCTCTGGGCATGACAGTCCACCAAAGGATTGCCTGGCCCTGACATGGCCATTTGTGAATGAGAAGGTAAAATTGAAAGGGCCCAGAACAGAACTTGAGAGTGCTCGTCAAGAAGAGAAAAATGTTATAAATACATGATAAATTGTAATTTTCAACTCTGAATCTGAAATACATGCATATTGCTTTACTTTGAACTGATTGCTCAGTGGAGAAGTGGGGTTTGTTGATCTTGTTGGGCTTGATTGACCCAGTTTCTGATCTGCGGACAAAATGCACCTGCTGTGTTGGTTGATTGTGCAGAAAAATCCGGACTTTAATAAAAAATAATAAAAGATGATGGACCAATGCTACATGCATGTGATTGACCAGTGGCTGCATTAGCAATGACAGGTGTGCTTGTCCAATGTGCTGAATCTTGTGTAGAGGTTTTTTTCCCACGGCTTCACCTTCACTGTTTCTTCAATTACAGGTGTCTCCTACCTCATCTCAAGCCATCATGCCTGTTGGGGCAGTCAGCTCCTCGGGTGCACCCGGATTGTATCAGCAGTCCAGAGCTGTAGTCTTTGATTCTCCATCAGGACACCGAACAGTTTGTCTACAGAATACCCTCTGCTATACCCTACCCCCAAATTCTCCCAAGGGATCCCCATTTGCTCCCAGCGTTATCTCTGGATCACCTGATAAATCAAAGCAGGGGACTGGTCGATTGTCAAGTTCCACAAAGCATGGAGATTCATATGGAGGCGAGTCTCCTCACAAGGGTAGAGAGAGGAAGGCATCACCAGGGGTTAAGATGTCAATGAGGAGTCTCACAGATGGAAGAGGATCACCACTGAACCAGACAGATGGAGGCAACTACGGACGGCCAGATTCACACACTTTGCGACAGCGACACCTACCCAAGGAAAGGACTGATCCTCAACTACCAAGAGAAGGCACGAGCAGGCCTGGAAGGAGCCTCGGTAGCTCTGATCCCTACCAGGGGATCTTGGAGCAAGATCATCCCCATGAGATCACATCACGTGGATTTCTAGCCTCCTGTGCCTGTTCCCTATTACGCCTCATTCCTTTGGTACTGCTCATCGGGTTAATAGTATTCTGGTGGTTTGGAACTCCGAAAATCCTTATATCCATGTTTGCTTCAAGTAGTGTATGCCCAAACGTGAATATCACATATGTAAAAGGTGAACTTCAAAAGGGATTGATTGGCCAACCAGCTGCATTAAACCTGATCATCAGTGCCTTAAGCAGTAACATGTTTCAGAGCAGACACAACCTTATCATGTTCTTTCATGGCAGTTCTGGGGTTGGCAAAACCCACACCGCCAATATCATCACAGAGAGTGTGTTGAAAGGGACCGAGAGAGACTCTTGTATTCATCTGTTCAGTTCTGATGTATTCTTGCTGAGACAGAAAGAGCAGTCGAAAGAAATGTTTGTTCATACCATCGAAGACTGGGTGAGAGGTAAGGAGAACGTGGAACCCAACTCGTGCTGTGTCTCGTTTTTCATCTTTGATGAGCTACAAGACGACACACCCAATGACCTTACCCAAGCACTTGGCCAAGTCCTATCTGGGATCAACACCTCATTTCCATCGCAGTTAAAAAAAGGAACCAGAGTGTTCATCATTATGACTATGATTGGTTCTCAAGCCATCAGCGAGTTCCTCATCACCAATATGAGACGAGGTCATGACCGACATAGCCTCACCACCCAGACATCCAGCTGGCAGGAACCTTGGAAGCACCTCACAGCAACCCTGGACAAGTTGGATACATTTAGGAATTGGCTTCATCCAGACAATTACGTCCGTATTCCCTTCTTGCCCCTGGAGAAATTCCACATCAAGCAGTGTGCCAGACGTCGGCTTGAGTGCAAGAACATTTCACCAAGCGAGGAGCGTCTGGAGTGGGTGTCGGACCAGCTGACATATTTTCCTGATGACTGGCCAGTATTTTCATCCTCTGGCTGTAAGAAAGTTGCAGGGAAGGTGGACTTAGTTCACAAAGACGAGATACCCATCTTCAATTTTAGAAAACCCTTCTGAGAAGAACGGAAACTATTTGCTTTGAATCTCTCATCATGCACTACCAACTGGTAAACATATTCATGCTTTTATAAATCATCTGCATCATTGTACGTACTTCCAGCTGTAAGTTGAAAACAGTTTTTAAGATGCCTTTGCATCTCAATGTTCCAGTTAAACTGGACAAAGCTTCGACAAAACTGGCCAAAGTGAAATACTTTACAATGTTTTGCATTTTATTTGAAGTTGCTGACACATATTCCAACATGGTAAAGTTTTCCGTATATATTAGCTGTTGTCAAGTTCATGTGAAGTTGTTTTCATCACCTAAATTTAAAAGAAAAGAGTGCCATCTAAGTTAAGGTATCAGTTATAAGGTGTTCTCGTAAACAAAAGTGAATTACACCTGCTTGAAAAATACTGTCTTATCAATATACATACATGGCTTTCATACATCCCGTGCAACCAGTCCAAAACATCTTGAAATCATCAGTAGTTTTCCTTTCAACTGTCAAATTTCAGTTTAAAAAGGTTTATCATTTGTGGTAAAGGAGCAATATCAAAATGGGCAATTTCATTTCACTTTCAACCAGTCATTTTACTGTTTTCTACAATGGAAAAAGAAAAACTTGGAATGATCAACTGACAGTGTACAAATTATTAAACACCGTCATATGTAAATTTGTTTCACAAAGTTTGGAAATGTTACTTCTGCAAACTTTCAATTAAGATTCCATTTACTGCCATGAAATTATGTGATCTTTATCAACAAATATGTGACCGACCCTAGAAAAATGGGTAATAAGTTGCAAGATCTAGGTTATGAGTTTTTGATGTGGCTGGATTCTGTACGTCAAAAGCTACAATTTGATGTATGAATGACCCCTGTAGTGCACTGCGTTCTGGAGATATTTAGACAGTTGTATATCCACATTTTCGGATTTAATAAAAGCACTTTTTGAGAAAAAGCTCAAAGTGTAGCGCTTGGAAACACAATGCAATGTAGGATTTCCTACTGAATGATCAATTTTTCATCTTTATTCATCAGTCTCCAACTCCATGTTTGTAGTCACAAATTCTGGAAATATAAATATTATAGAAAGTATTAAAGGAAAAAACACAAAATTACATTTTTGAAGAAATTTTGCCCTCTCCTAATAGAACAGGCCACTACGTGTTTTGGCATCGCGCAACTTAATGCCTTTTTTGCAGAGCGGGTCACAAATACAATCACTGTAAAACTCCACCCCTATTCAATTTCAAATTGAATTAAATAAAATATTACATTAAAATTGCACAAAATTCACTTTGCATGTGTAAATATGGCTAAAACTTTGCTAAAAATGTTATACTTATTTTTCAAGTTTACAGATGTACTGTCTCCACAGTTCCATTATTTTGAACCTCTTTAAAAGATAAATCACACACAATTCTTTTCACAAATGTAAATTTCTGTAGAACGAGGTAAATGTGGGAGTCGTGCAACGGGAAAGTCAGGATGATTGAGGAAAATTAGCAGATCATCAAGAGGTTGCATGCCTGATATTATGTCATTAACACCTCTTTTCTCTCACTTACTTCTATGTATATACAAGTATATTATAAAAGTCATCATGGAAAATTATTTACAACCGCCCTGCTTTGAAGGTCAAGATATGTTATGTAATTTCAAAGGTTTTAACTCCGTCTTCAATGTAGTGACAAAAACTGTGAGGTCACATTTGGCAAACTGAAATATTCAGGAAAAAAAAATAGTCGAGTCTGAATACGCGGCACAACCCCACTCACTGAATTTTCTTGTACATATAACAAAAGCAGATGGGCACACTTCTGCATTGCAACTTAAAAATATCGAAGTTGAGTTGTATAAGCCTCCTTTTTCTTTTTCACCCCGATAGGTGAAAAATGAGTCCAGACAGAGTAGATGTTGGATCTGACAGTTTCTTCACTGTTCCTCTGTGTTTCTGCCTGTATTATACTTGTCCTGGAACCTCTTATAAAGCTTGTCTAACTGGCTGTACAGAATCATTGGTTCTTTGGACTCATAATCAACCTGGAATTAAATACACAAAGTGAGAAAAATAACTTCAATATTTTGCCCCCTTCTAAAAAGTACTTTTAAAGTGAAAATGACATATTTTTTCTAAGTCATAAAACCTGTTTTATGTTTTTCATTTGCCCCTTGCTGATTCAGTTTAAATCCTTTCCACCACTCCAAACCAAAATCATTTGAGGCACTAATTTGAACTCGGCATGAGATCCTGGCGAACAATGTTGGGTGGGTTGAGTTTTCATAAAACCACGATGCAGACCATATTTCAGAACTAAAGCTCTTCCAAATGAGAGTTTATTGCACATGATATATCTGTGAACCTACGGTTCAGCCACTGCCATGCAAAGTTTCTGATTTCAAAATTGCCAATTAGTATTATTGTCAAATTTACGTGCTATGGGGGCCACATGAATATTTTACGAGTTCAATTTCTAAGCATATATCTTCGTTATTAAAAATAAAAATTAAGACAGCAGTAACCTCCAGCTGATTGACATTTTTTTTACAAAATCTGTGCCAATGGTAAATACAAATATTTGTGGAATATGTATTGTCTTCACACAAGACAACTGTCCATGCATACTGCGTACCAGCATTTCTGCAGACTTTGGTATTTGTAGAACCCCGATGGGTTTATAGCTTTTATCGTTAGGCCTACATCTGATGCCAGTATATTTGTCAAGTACTTACCTCTTCCGGTACGATGTAACTATTGCCGATGGCAGAGCTGTAGCTGGTGTATTTTCTGTCTGGTCGAATACTGATTCTGTCTTCTCTGTACACCCACAACTGAAAAAGCAAGATAATCCTGATACTGAAACATGGTTCTGTTCAATTTCAATACTTTTGCCTCAAAGAAAATGTTGCCAAGCAATATTTAGCAAAATACAATGGTTTGTATAGTCGGTGAAATAAATTTCATGTTTTGTGTAATTTCTTACCAAGGACTCGGCTCCTATACTGGGCTCAATAACAAACCTTGGAGCAAAAACTCGGATCTGCAAGTAATGACAAAAACATGAAAACAGCGTTGGAACAAAAGGCGTCCATCGATTTTACAACAATGGCCAGCAACTGCGGAGCGTTAAGGTCAAAGGTCAAATAATATGCAAACGAAAACTGGGCCAAGAATGAATGGGCACCGCATTGACCTCAATGTCCACATACCAGCAGGAAAATGGGGTAAAAGATGGACCACATCCACGTCGGGAAGAAAGTGCTGGTAATGTTGGTTGCCACGACGCCAGGTGAGGTCAGGTGACTGTAGACACCCCGTTCATTGTATTTTTCATTCAGTGCAATGTTGAGTATGTCCATGGCATACTTGGATGAGCTGTATCCCTGAGTTCTAGAGAAGCAAAAAAAAAAGAGGAACAAATGACTAGACCAATATTCTGAGGAATGGTGATGTTCTCTTATGGTCCTCATAACATAACTACCCATTTTTCTTGTCTTTGTCTTAGTTTCCAATTTAAAATCAGTCCATTTCTTACAATATTCTAGAGCTGCATGCTGATTGATGGAACCCTTTCCATTACTTACCCATATTTGTGCTGAATGTCTTGGAGGCTGAAATGCATCTTGTGAGCGTTGCTAGACGATGTCCACACGATACGGGCCTGGGATTGACACAAGAGGTCCTCCAGTTCTTGTATCTAGGAGAGTTTCAGATATCAGAGTCAAATGAATTTCTGAATAGAGAGAGAAATACTAAAGCAATCTGCATAATGGAAAAAAGAATTGCCAACGAAAGCACTGAAATGAATTGGAAATGTTTACATTGATATACATTGAGAAGTTCAATGATCTTGAGTTTGCATTTCTTCCAAGTATGTTTGTAACTGTACATAGGTCATTACTAACTTACAATTAACTGGAGATTAGTGGAAAAAGTAGGAAGCTCTAAAGCCGCAACCATCTCTGACCTTCGGGGGAGGGGGGCTTCACAGAAGCAACTGACAAAGTGCTCTGCTCAGGGACACAACACATTGCTATACAGTTGGAGTGTCTATTGGCCTGCAGAATTAAGGGCCTGGCCTTCCATTTGGAAATCTATTTGTAGAGATGAGAAACTTGTCAACCACGGTCAAATTTGATCAAATGCTGCCAAGTGGGCTTTACCAGAACAAAATGGCCAAAGAGGTTTGTGCAGAATATGGACTTGAGTCCGTCTCCAGTCTCGTCGTCTTGGAGATTCAGGAGGCCTTCGCCCGTTGTCAACATGTCAATCAACTGCAGTCTGAAAAGAATCAGATATGGGTCGATTATTGATTTCCATACAAGGACACTGTTACGTTAAAATTCCTAACCACATCTACAGTGTATTGCCAACAGATGACCTCTACATCCGTTGTCAATTGCCCAAGGTATCTGTGATTAGCCTGTGATTTAGTGGAAAAATAACATTTGCTCTTGATAACCTTGATTTCTCTAAAATATTTCCATGAAGCTAAACTGACTTAAATGCATTGTATTCCAGCTTGAAAACCTTTGG